CTCACCCCCTCGAGGAAACTCACCTTGGTTTTATCGCATCAATTCGCTATCGACCACCCCCTCCGCTCACTAACTCGCGATTTCTCCGCGCTCTTGATAAACCGTTCCGCATGTTTACGAGAGAGCCGAATTTTCGTTTCCCCCTCCCACCTCCCCGTTCACCAATATCGAATGATAATGGCGATCGGTTACAAGTGAGATTCCACTTAGGGCTTCGCCGCCAAGTCTTCCATTCCATTTCCATCTATAAATGAAAACAAATGAAATGAAAACGATTGCCAGCATGTATATATTTTCATATTGATACCATATCCCTCGTATCGGGTTATCGGGATGATTGACGTCCGTAATATTTCATTTCGCACGCGGCGAGTCGGCTGCCGAGGAGGTTTTCGTGGTGACGCCCTTCCTAGCAAGGCGGGGGCGGGGGTGGGAGCCTGATAGATTCGTCCCGATTCTGCAGCTCCGAAGGATCCTATTGTTTCCCTGCGATCCTCCAAATGAAAACGAAAGACAATCATATTATCCGACGTTTCTGTCTTCATATTTCATTTCGTAACTCACTTATAGCGAACGACGCAAAAGTCTCTTCTCACAAATGTAAGCGCTGCAAAATTAGAGACGAATGGATGTTATCAAATGATGAATGTTACGTACAAATACGTCAGACATCTTTGCAGTATTTTATCGTGGTAACGTTTCAGAACGAATTTTGAATTCTCTTCCACTACTACCGAGGAAGAGTGACGCCTGATTGTCAACTCTAAAGAGCAACAGCTAATAATGAGTCTTGCAACTTGCTGAGACATCAATCACATTACCGCTAGTTGACAGAAAAAACTAAACTGGCAATATAATTACAAAGAAACGACTACTGAGCAGTGACACGACTTCATTTTTAAGCGGACATAATTATTATGTTCGATGATTTCAAAACAATTCTCTCACAGTATCTCAATGCCTTGTGCGCTGAGTTTTTACTTGCTTCATATGCTGCGGAGTTTTATTGTCGTAGATATCAACCCATCATAGCGAATTAAGCACTCTGAACACAAAAACACTCAATGTAGACATGATTATGGCAATGTTATCCAATTAACCATAATGTGCAGAGCTCTTGAGCTTCTGTACAGACCAGAATAGACAAGTTTGCAATGATGGATACTTCAGTAAAGACTCTTTTAAGCTTCGATAAAACCTACATTGCCATTATTCATTGCAACTGAATTTACAGTAATGGAAGGTTAACCATGAGTCACTGCTAATTAATTCACCTTTTGAGTTTTAAATTATGGAAATAGAGTATCTTGCAATTTAAATCAACTTTATCAACACTACACAACAAATCGAATGTTATAATCTGTTGAAACAATTACTTCATTTTAAGTTTTCCTGCTCAGAAAGAAAGAAGGATAACAGTCGAATGATTAGATTTTAATTTCTTTTTAACAAATATTGCTATAACTTAAATTAAATGCTATTTACATTTTGAACGAGTATTGCCTTAATTCGTCTGACCATAACCACGTAAATCTGTTATAATTGCAATTCAATTAAATTATTAGACTTCTAAAACTTTAGAAACATATGTGATTCCTCACTGAAATTTACTAACACGTTTTATAATTTTCTGTCATGTGACTATGACATTGTACCATTGTGAAATTTACTGTGTATATTATGATATGATTGGCTAACAATCATGCGTCTACACACACTAAACGGTAATAAACTCATGCAAAATACAGTTTACATAATAAATTTATACGTTTATTATTTTACATAATAAATTATAGTTTTAAAAACTGTACGCTGCAATGTAACAGATTTATACAGATTTCTAGACACTAAAAATAGAGATAGAACGTTAGAATATTTCGTTAACTGCTAGAAATGGAAGGGTCTTAATTGCCCACTAGGGCCTAATTCTTTGTTTTCTACGAGCAAATGAATTTATTTAAGATTTTGAACTCTACATTTGAAAAGAAACAGGTTTCTGAGTGGCACTATTTTTGCCATGTCAATCCTACTTTCCTAGATCACCATTTGTTACGGGAGTTCATTTACACCTCTCAAACAAAATGTCCAGGCATATGAACAGCACGATATTCCTTCACAAGGCACGAACTTAAACAATGTCCGGCCACTGACATGCTTGAATTCTTGCAGTGAATGTAATATAATAATATATAATATTTTAATATGTAATAATAATGTTTATTTACATAAACGTCAAATTCTGCACTTTAATAATTCAGTTTCTTTCAACTTATTTCAATATGATATTCTTATACTTACTAAATCAAGGCATTACATGTCATCATGATAAATTAAACAGAAATAGTTCCTTTTTTTCAGTACTTGCAAAGTAAGAATTTTAAAATGTCATATCGTACATGCTGCTGCAATCGTTACAGCATAGATTTGAGATATTAAACATATATTATCAAAGGAAAATACTGCAGTATTAAAACGCAATTTCAAGGAGTGAAGTTTAAAATAGATACTTTTTTAAGGTTTGTAAGTTTTCCATCATTTTCTAAGATCATGAATCTATTAATGTACTTGCAAGGTCTATATTCATCCAACACGATAATGGAATTAAAAGTTGTGTTTTGTGGAAAATTAAACTTTTTTGTAATTTTATTTAATTAAGAAAACGATTATGCGATGAAGAGTTGTTGTGTTTGTAGACAAGTAATTTTATTATAAGGCCTCCACGTTGGAAACATTGTTATTCGTATACTATTCGTACCTGCCAGGAACACCATAATCCGCAAGTGGACGCTTCATTTATGATTTCCATACTTTGTAATGTCTTGATCAAAGACATTTGAAAAGAAATCTGGACACTACATACCAAATGTATTCTTATGATTGCTCATGTTAAGCGAAGGCAGTTACTTTTACTTGTCATTTCGTCGATTCGCGTGTGTGTAATATGAAAAGGGCTCGCTGTGAGCGTAGAATCTAATCATAACCAAATTACAGAGCCTAAAAATATTGAAATACTGAACATACGTATTGAAAATGAAGTATAAACTTTAGGAAAATACCATCTAAACGTAATAAATTGAATAATAAGTATTAATATTGTTGACTAATTTCTGCACAAATATAAAATTTTGTTTAAGCAATTACTGGGGACCCCTATCGTATATGGGCCTTAGGCACGTTTTTAACCTATTTATGTATTTTACAATACATAATTGCAATACTGTTTTTTATGTGCAATACATTTTTGCAATACTGTTCTGTTAAATTAAGTAACTAGAGGAAAGTATTGGCCCTCTTAAGCGACGGCGTCCAGAAATGATATAACAGTCCACCTCCACTTAAGAACATTCCAAACAAATCAGTCGTGGTTAATGACGGGGAAGAATACTAGTAATCCAAGAAAAGGTACTCGTTATTTATATTATTTTTTCCTTATCATAAAGAGATATTATTACGAAAATTATTGAAAGATAAACTGCCGATATCAGAAATAACAGAGTTCACAAACCTCGACTGTCACCTCACCTTATAAAATTCAAACGATACAGTCATTTGCTGGTCATCGGCCTATTGACTAATCGGTTTATAACTGTGCGTATCGGCAGAACTCCATACGACAAAAAACATAGTTTTTACAATGTTCATCGAACTTACAATTTCATTCCCAACAAGAAGATCATTAAATTCTTCCCAAACAACACTCCTTTTATTTCTGACAGAACACTGCAAAATTTCACAGTATAACAAATATATTAAAAATCAAGTAAAAAAATTAAGTTTTGGACTATCTAGTTCTGCCTCAGGTTCAAGTACTGTCACAGCAAGGTGGCCACTGATTTCCTGAAACAAATTTCCCTGACTTTCCCGGACTTACACAGCATTTTTAAAATTTCTCTCCAAATAAAATTTGTACTTCCACACTACTTAACGAACATATCAAAGCTACCATGATACTAATTTGTTAGCTCTCTGATTTTGCCATCACAAAGTACAAATCAACAATATTTTCTCACCAAAGTAAAAAACTGGGCAAAAAGTGTGTGTTGTAATGCTGCACTAACACTCTTAAGGAATAAAATCTACTATTATGACTCTCTCAAAAATTCTCGGCTATCATGGATTCGAGCCGCGGAAACTTACGTATACATAAACCCTCTCAAAATTTTCCCTGTCTTCTAATGATTCTTTTACAAATTCCCTAGTTTTTCCCTAACTTTTTCCACAGCAATGAAATTCCCTGATTTGTTCCCTGCATTTTCTACAGCAATAAAAACCACTATTTTTCCCTTGACTTTTCTTCAGCAATGAAATTCCCTACTTTTTCCCATGACTTTTCTTCAGCTGTTTTTTTCCATGACTTTTCCACAACTATAAAATTTCCTGATTTCTTCCCTGACTATTCCACAGCAATAAAATTCCCTGATTTCTTCCATGACTTTTCCAAAGCAATGAAATTCCCTGATTTCTTCTCTGACTTTTCAACAGCAATGAAATTCCCTGATTTCTTCCCTGACTTTTGCACAACAACGTAATTCCCTGATTTCTTCCCTGACTTTTCCACAGCAATGAAATTCTCTGATTTCTTCCTTGACTTTTCCACAGCAATGAAATTCCCTGATTTCTTCCCTGACTATTCCATAGCAATATTCCCTGATTTCTTCCACGACGTTTCTACAGCAATAAAATTCCCTGATTTCTTCCATGACTTTTCTACAGCAATGAAATTCCCTGATTTCTTCCCTGACTTTTCCACAGCAATGAAATTCCCTGATTTCTTCCCTGGCTTTCCCACAACAATGAAATTCCCATATTTCTTTCCTGACTTTTCCACAGCAATGAAATTCCCTATTTCTTCCCTGACTTTTCCACAGCAACGAAATTCCTTGATTTCTTCCCTAACTTTTGCACAGCAACGAAATTCCCCGATTGTCCCGAAAGAGGATTCGCAGCGCGCCCGTGTAGGCTAGTGGCGCGGCGGGGGGCTGGCGGCGCGGGAACTCACCATCCTGCGGCTGGGGCGCGCTGGCGTGGTGCGCGGGCGACGGCGGCGGCCAGGGCGCGCGGTGGCCGGCGCCCGCGCGGAAGGGCGAGCCGGGCGACGCGCCCAGCATGGCCGACACGGGCTGGTGGAACCCGCCGCCTGCAACACACACACGCGACACTTCAGCGCTTCAGCACTCTCACAGCAAAAGAGACACTACGTACACTTGGGAGATTAAATAGGGCTCTCAAACTGCTTTGCAGCTCACTGACTGGTAACTTTTTTGTGTATCCCCAAGATCATTTTTTTAAACCAAGTCCTTAGCCACTTCATTATATTTCACTCTAAATTTCACGAAAATCGAGCTTCATTCATTAAAAACACTTTATTAAGTTTCGAAAAAAGTATTTTCTTAAATCAGTCCCACAATCACATTTAAATATTTCTTTGACTTATATGGCCTTTTCGCATTGTAACAAAACTTTTTGGCCTGAATTTCAAACATTTTGATTAATTATTGTAGGATGAATTGCTCAAATTCATAACTTTTAAAACTATTTATTATCCGTTAGAAGGATGCACGAGCAAGATCACTATTTCAATTTCTTGCACAAATGCAAATGTTGATTACACGCTTCGAGGTACGCGTACCACAGTTTGAGAACCTCTGTAATACAAAAAGTATTACACCCGCTACATTAATTTCAAAACTCACTTACGTTAAATAAAAGTGAAAACTGAACTCGTACATTTGAATAAGTCATAAGGGAATATTTATTCGAACCAATAATTTTCATTGACAGTGCTCGTGTTTTGCATCGAATACAGAACCCTGTGATTGCGCCAGCTATGACTGGTAATATGACTTTGCATTTCATTCCCTCGTTCACTTTCTCACTTATTTACTTTGTTAACACAAGGTCTTAGAATTAATGTTGGTTTCTTTCCTATTTCAGACTTTTTTATTACACCAATTTTCACAAACTTTCTCTAACCAAACCTGTCAATTTCTTCCAGTTTTTAGAAAATCCTTTTTTTAATTAGTATTAATGACATTCTAGACTGTTTTAGAAAATTGTCTTCAACGCTTTATTAACACTTTGCTGATGCCGTTACGTACTCAATTTGTTTACTCGAAATATACGTTATTTACAGCGTCATTGAAGTGTCTACTATTCATCACAATTGCAGTATTATGAATTTGTATTTCAACTGTCAACGAGCAATAACGGAGAACAATTGAAGTGGTGAATGTAACACACACACACACACACATATATATAT